AAATAAAACCTTCAAAAAAAAAAAAAAAGAATTATGTTCAGGGACACCTGAGTGGCTCAGTCGTTAAGTGTCTGCCTTTGGCTCAGGTCACGATCTCGGGGTCCTGGGATCAAGCCCCGTATTGGGCTCCCTGCTCAGCGGGAAGTCTGCTTCTCCCTCTCCCTCTGCCGCTCCCCCTACTTGTGCTCTCTCTTTCTCCCTCTGTCAACTAAATAAATAAATTCTTAAAAAAAAAAAAAAAAGAAATTTTAGCCATGGTTTTAAAAGCTAAATGCTAGACTAACTGTAATTATGTATAACTAATAGTCCTCAGCAGGGGACTATGGCCTTGTACAAACTTTAGGGGATATGTCTGGATAAAGAGAAAGTGGAAAATAATACCTCAGCATAAGGCTAACCACCACCTTCCTATTTCCACAGAGATATCCTTGGCTTTGTGTATAGAACTTTGCTGCTCAAAGTGTAGTTCAGTAATGTTGGTATCACCTGGCAATTAGAAATGCAGATACTGAGGTAGCAGCCTGAAACTACTAGATCAGAATTCGCATGTTAGCAAGACCCTCCCCCCAGAGAGGATTTATATGCACATTCAAGTTTGAGAAGCACAACACAGAATATTTTAAGGGTGCACTCTCTATAGCAATACCAAACAGGCATATAAAGAGACGAAATACCTGCTCACTTTCTGTATATCATATTTTATTAAGTACTGATCAGACAGACCTTCAGTGTTTTTTAATCAATTTGGTATTTACTAACGACCACATGATCTAAATGTGGGATCAATTTCACTTCCTGAAATAACACACCTTAGCTCTGGAGCTTTCAAGCACATGAAATATAAAACAGTTTAGCTGTTCTGAAAATATAATAATGGTTAATTTTATACAAGTTCCAACACTGAGTTCAGAGCACTTCTCCACAAGCCCCATTAATTCCTACAGGTTCCTGGGAGTATCATTAAATCCCCCAGCATCCCTAAGAAGCAGGTGCTTGGCAAACATCCAATCTCCAAATGAGATTCAGAAGGATGTGGTCCTGAAAATGCAGTATTTTCCTGCCTCATTCTGCCAGTGTAGCTTCTCAGGCCCAAACTCTCTCCCCCCACTGAGGCCTCATACAGCTGTACACTCAAGTACTTCCCAAAAGGGAGAAAGGTCAGAGGTATCATTATCCCATAAGCACTTGGGATTCCAGCTGTGGAGAAATTAATCCGGTTAGGGGTTCAGGCAGAGAAGCCCTGAGCAAGATCTGGAAAGGCAGAAAGAAATACAAAAGAAAGAACCTACTGAGAGGTTTTTATAGATGTCCCAGATATTTGGTCCCAGATATTAGGAGAGGTCCCAGATATTTGGAGATTTTAAGGTGGGGATTGGGAGCAAGGCTTGGCAGACATGTGAGAAAATGATGGGGAGAGATGAGTATCCATCACCCACGTGCACCTCAGGGACAAGAAAAGAGAAGAGATTCCTCCAAATGACCTCTTTTCCTGATAAAAGGAAGGAAAAAAGCCAATGTAGGGAGGAAGCTTATGAGTTGGAAGCAAGACTGGAAGAATCCCTTTAGAATTTTTTCCCAATATATGGGGGGAAAGCAAAAGAGAAAACAGTACACATTTAACCAGAATCTTACAGGAAGCAAACCACCCAGAGAATTAAGAGTCCCGTGAATAATCAAAGAAATGCCAGGGGATTCCTTTCCAGTTTAAATTCAGTGCTGGAGGGTCAGACAGTCCTGGACTTAAGGCCACCTCCAGCTCAAGGAGTAAGTAGAAAAGGGAAAATCTCTACAAACACCAGTAAGCAGAGCAGTGTCCAAAGGGAGTTAGAAACCAGAAAAATGCAGAAAATGGGATAGGGCAAGCTAAGATAGATGAGTTTCTGTTAGTAGAAAGCAGAAAGATAAAAGATAAAGGAGACATACAAAAGACAACATGCAGGCACCCTTTTGGAGGGGGATCTTTTCCTTGGGGGAGGGGAATTCAGGAGATGTGACTATAGGAAGTGTGCTCAGAAAAAAGGTCGCAGAGGCAGAGAAGTGCTGTGCAGAAGAAAGATATGCATTCACCAGAGGAAGGAAGAGGAAATGGGTGCCCTGACCAAGCAGTGAGAGCACCTAAAAGGGAAATGGGGTTCCAAAGAGGAAAGGAAACTGAGGAATGAAAATGTCTTGGATAGAAAAAAAGCTAAAAAGGAAAGGAGGCATGCTCAAGAACCAAGGATCATGGCCCCAGAATGAGAGGACTTAGAAAAAAATTTGTGTCCTCCGCATTTAAAAAGTATCAGGAAGGTGGCTGCACCCTGAGAACTGTACAACCAAAAGGGGTGGATTCTGTACATTTTGGAAACACAGGAAATAAATACACTCTCAGATATGAAAATGAGTTCCCCCCCCCCGGAAATAAAGTAGTTCAATTTGAGGAACTCATGAAAATGAGTGCAACCCCAAGAATACAGTGACTAGAAGAAGCAGTGAATTCCTTTATTTGTGCACCCGCAAATATCTACCTATAAACTTCAGGATTTGGATCGCATTTTCAGTAGACTCTGGAAATGAGCACCCCCAGATTTCAAGGGCTGGGGAAACGAAGTAGCCCCTAAATTTAAGAAATTTTGGAAAGCATGTTGCAAGATCTGGGGCCTGGAGAAGGGGATTCTTTCTTGGATTTGTGGGAATAGAAGCACCCCCAAAACTTTGGTTACTGGACCCCAGATTTGACTCAATAATGGGGCAAACCCCAAAATTTGAAAGCAGTGCGTATTCAGATTAGAGGCTCGGAAAAGGGAGTGTCCTCCCAATCTGGGGGGTGCCTGAGAAATGGGTCACATCCTCCGTTTGAGGGACTTTGGAAATTAAGATAAAACCCCAAGCTGGAGTTTAAGAAAGGGGATGCACCACATTCTCTAAACTATAGAGAAAGGGGACACTCCCATAGTCAGGGGCTTGAGAAAGGGGTGTGCTCCCCAGAATAGGATAAAAGAGTCAATAAAAGAAAACGCGTTCCCAAAGCACAAGGTAAGAGCAGCGGCTGGTGGTGGAGCTCCCGGGGACCACACAGCTCAGCCTCTAGCCCTAGCGCTTACCCCCCACCCCCAACACGGCCCGCTCCGCGCCCCGAGCCCGCACCCCGCGGCCCAGCCCCCTCGAGCGGCGCTGATTGGCCGCGGCCGCCGTCATTCCCTCGGGCAGCCCTGAGGATTGGGCGCCGCTCGCACGCCCGCCACGCTCTCAGCAGCGGTCCCCGGGCCTCCCTCCGGGCTGGGCGAGCGGGGCCGGGCGGGGAGGGAGGCCGGGCAGGGGACCAGAGCAGCGGTGGCGACCGTCACCGCTCCCGCTAGCACAGCACGCACAGCGCGCGGGCCCGGCCCAACCCGGCCCCAGCCAGCCGGCTTCTCCTCGCCGCGCCTCGCCGCGAGCTCACCTCACAGCCCCGCTCCGGCTGCGCCGCTCCAGGACCAACCGACAGAAGGACTCTGCGTGCTGCGCACCACGTGACCCTCGGGACGCGCCCAGCGTATCCCCCGCCCCCCACACACACGCACCATCGCCACCACCGAGTGACGCAGCGCCCCAGCTGCCCCGCCCTCGGCCCCGCCCCGCCTGATCCCCGTGGAGACTGCTCCCGCGGGCCACGCCTACTGCCCTGACGCGCGGGAACAAGGCCGGCGCCCTGATCCAGAGCACGAAGTCCCCATTCACCCATAACCACTGAGGTAACACGAAGCTTGGGACTGGACACTACCCATCACCTGTTAATTTCGTCTCCTAAGTGCATCTCGAAGCCTCCCACTTTTCTCCATCCCACTGCCGACTGTCCAGTCCCGGCCACCTCTCTCTTAGATGATGGTGGTGGTGCCCTCCATCCCATTACCCTTTCCCCTTCCAATCCATTCTTCACACACAGACAATGGAGCTTTTCAAAACTGAGGTATAATCATAGCCACACCCTGCTCAAAACCCATTGCCTACTGTTCTTCGGGTTGAAATCTTAATCTCCCCTGTAGCCTATCAACCAGACTCTTCAGAGTCTGAACCTAACCTGCCTCTCTCACGTTCTCACACATCGTGCTTTCCCACGTTCTCCACCTCTTTCAAGTAAGTGCTCAAGCCAGGTTCCTTGCCGCCTCAGGGTCTTTGCACTAATACCTCCTCCACTTTGCCTCATTAACTCCTAGCTAGGAAAGGATTCCAATGGCTGGTGTGCAGAGGAGCTGTATTTTGCCTCTGGGGACCTAGGTGGGAGTTGCAGCCACAACCAAAGGGTATGAAATGTTTTCCCAACGGGACTTGGGAAGTCCCAAGGAGAAAGGCTGAACATTTGTTATTTATGAGGGCCATGAGGACTTTAATTTACATTGGAAAGACAAAGCAGCCAGACTGCACTTCTTAAAATGTAAATCCAGTCATGTCACTGCCCTGCTTAAAACGGCCAGTCTGTTCACCTGCATCCTTCACCCTTGCTCATCCTCTGGCCACACTGACTTTCTGTCAGTTTCTATGGTTCTTTCTAAATTCTTTCCAGCTGCTGAATCATGGAATAAGCTGTTGCTTTTTGCAAAGCTGACTCTTCATCCTGCAGGTCTGTTTGTCATCTCCTTAGTGAGATGCTCTTTAGCTACATTATCTAAAAGTGCTTCATTTGATCAAATGCCTGCCCTTTGACAATTACTCTCTACCTTATTACTGTTCATTTTCAACAGAGCACTAACACAGTTTTAATTATTTCATTTGTTTGTTCTCTTGATTATATTTGTCTATTTCCTAAATTAGAGTTAGGAACTATCTTATATCAACTGAATTGTCAAACCTGACAAATAATAGATGTTCAATGTATTATCTGTTGAAGGAATGAAAGGAAAGAAAATGATATCAAAAAACTAGTAGATTCTTCTTTATGGCCCAAGTCCATAGGAGAGGTGTTCTTCAAATCAGGCTTGAAGAGGGCATTACCTCCGGGCAGAGGAAGAGGTTCTGGGAAACCAGGGACAAAATCTTCAGCTGTGTTCACTTCAGCAGCACATATACAAAAATTATAACGATACAGAGATTAGTGTGGCCCCTGTCCGAGGATAACACGCAAATTAGTGAAATACTCCATTTGTGTTAAAAAAAAAAAAAAAAAACCCTCAGGAATTTGAAGACCAGAACCACCTGCAAAAACTCAGCTCAGTGCTCCAATACAATAAGAAAGGACCTTCCCAGGATCCTCTCCGTTTATGTCTATTAACATGAAATTGTTCAAATGTTAATGGCTGGGGCACCTGGGTGGCTCAGTTGGTTGGTTAAGCATCTGCCTTCAGCTCACATCATGATCTCGGGGTCCTGGGAACCAGCCCCATGTCAGGCTCAGCAGGGAATCTGCTTCTCCCTCTCACTCTCCCTCTATGCTCTCTCTCAAATAAGTAAATGGAATCTTAAAAAAAAAGAAAAGAAAAGAAATGTTAGTGGCTGTTGTAGCATAAGAGGATTTGTTGTCCCACAACCATAATAATGCCAAGAATCCCAGACTCAATAGCCCCACATAAATACAACCTGTTTCTTCACTTATTCAGCCTGCATGCATTGAAACAAGGGCTTGAGCTGGGCACCAAAGACACAGTAGAATGAGATGTAGGCCCTGCTCTCAAGGATCTCACAGCCTGGTAAAGAAATTATTGAAATTTGTAAGTTAAAGTTCTTTTTGTCTGTTGCAAGTTCAGGCACTGACACTGTTGCCAATACAAGCAAAAGAGAAATATATAGGGGCACCTGGGTGGCTCAGTCCTTAAGTGACTGCCTTCGGCTCAGGTCATGATCCCAGGGTCCTGGGATCGAGCCCCACATCGGGCTCCCTGCTCGGCAGGAAGCCTGCTTCTCCCTCTCCCACTCCCCCTGCTTGTGTTCCCTGTCTTGCTGTGTCTCTCTCTGTCAAATAAATAAATAAAATGTTTTAAAAAAAGAGAGAGAAATATATTACAAGGATATTAGGGGCCTAGAGTGTGGACTACAGGGCAAGCGTGGAAAACAAGCAGACAGAAAAGCAGCTTCACCAAGAAGCAACTGCTGCTGCCAACAGCACCACACACCACGGCTGGGATTCAGTCCTAACATCCTTTTGTCTTTGAGTCACTCACTTAAGAGGCAAAAATCTTGGCCCAGAGGCACTGTTGATTGGTCAATCTCAGATCACATGGATTAGTCCAGGCTGCCAGGGAAAGAAGAGAGGAGCAATATGCCCATAAGGATATTCCCCCCGAGCTGGGAAAAGAGGGGAGAGCTGATGCTGGCCAGGCAAAAATAACTTGATACACATATGAAAAAAGTACCTTGGGAGTTAAGCTCTTTCTGATTCCTGCAGAAACCTGGCTTGCCAGCTTCTTCTAAACTGGACCTTCACTAGCTGCTAGTCACAGAACTCCAGTTTGCAAAATTCTGATCTAAAGCCCCAGTCTTACCCCTGCCTCCTTAGCAGCATCCCTCTTTGGGCCTTAAGATTCTCCCCAGCATCTCACTAGTAGTTGGTCTCAACCTCCCAATTATGTCTTAGATAGAGCCTTTCTTTGTACAAGATAGGCATTCAACTAATAGTTGCAATTAGTGAATGAGTGAAATAATGTAAAGCAGCCTCAATTCCATGAAATAGAATCTCTCCTGCTAAGTGTCTAACCAGTTCAGAACTCTGGTCCCAACCTGTAAAATGACAGCTCCACAAGGAAACCCTGCATGCACGTAAGGTATATAGTAGCACAAGAGGCGGGTAATATCTGCATGGAAAGTCCTTTCACTCCCTACGCATCACTTTCTTCTTAAATTGTCAAATTTAAGTTAAATAGCATATGAGAAAATTTATTATAAACTGCAAAGTTCTATATAAATGATTTTCTGATTGCTTTCTTACTAGATTCATCATCGTCTAGAGTATTCAAAATGCCCCTGGCTAAAGAGAAGCAGAACTAAAGGCCTAACATGAGATAAGATATTCAGTTAGAAAACTGATCTTTCTCAGCCTCTAGCCAGCAAACCTTTACACTCTGTCCTTATGCAACCCCAAGGTATTTACAATGAGTCTGTCTAGGGAAAAGAGGAAAACTAAAATAGAAAAGCAAGCCCCTCAGCTGTGACTCACACTCAAAGACCCCATATACTCAGAGTATCACCAAGCCTGAGCATGTCAGTCTCCAAAGTAGGACCTGGGGTATGATATCTGCAGCACCCAGCTGACTGTGAGAACTCAGGAAGCCGGAAACCACAGTCACAGCAGCATCTGAGAGGTCCAAGAACCTTCACAAGGCCCCGGGGGACCCAAGGGAAGCAAGTTGAGTCTTGGCCCTGGCCTAAGTTCTTCCAGTCTGGACCTGATGGAAGGTTCTTGAGTTCCCCAAGCCTTAGTGCTCTCCAAGTGAGGGGGAGGAGAATTAAGTAGGAATTCTAATATATTTCCAGCATTTTGCAAGATTATAAGGGGCGGGGAGAAGAGGAAAAGGAGAAGAGAACATTTTTTTTTCTTGTCCTAGATACTAAAAAGAATAATAAGGGGCACCTGGGCAGCTCAGTTGGTTGAGCGACTGCCTTCGGCTCGGGTCATGATCCTGGAGTCCCAGGATCGAGTCCCGCATCGGGCTCCCTGCTTAGCGGGGAGTCTGCTTCTCCCGCTGACCCTCCCCGCTCTTGTGCTCTCTCTCTCTCTCATTATCTCTCGCAAATGAATAAATAAAATCTTTAAAAAATAAAATAAAATCCACCTGGATCACTTCAAGGGACTAAGTCCTGTTCTACTTTGTCCTTTGGGAGCTCCGGTACCTAGCACTGTTCTCTATAATTTAAGCATACTTATTAAATATTTCTTGTGGGTTGAAACTCATGCCAATCCAGAGATAAAGAGAAAGGGGGAGGAATGGAGGTTAAAGAAGTTTATTAATTGATCAGTCTCTAAATCTGCTGGTACTCCACTCCCCAAATGTCTTATAATTTATTTTTTTAAGATTTTATTTATTCATTTGCGAGAGAGAACAAGCAGGGGGAGAGGCAGAAGGAGAGGAAGAAGCAGACTCCCTGCTGAGCAAGGAGCCTGATGCGGGACTCGATCCCAGGACCCTGGGATCCTATAATAAATGTCTTATAATTTAATTGTAAATAGTTAATGCTATCCATATGGTTCAAATCCCAGAAACTATATAAAAGGCATACAATGCAAAGTCTCCCTCAAATTCTTGTCCCTCATTGGTCCTGTTTCCACTGGTTAACCACTACTCTTACTTTCATATGAATCTTTTCAGGGTTTCTTCATACATATATAAGCAAATTCAAGTATAAGTTCCAAAAAAAAAACCACCCCAGATATAAGTTCAAATATATTCTGACTCTTCTATACAAAAGGAAGCATTTTAGGGTGCCTGGGTGACTCAGATGGTTAAGCGTCTGCCTTCGGCTCAGGTCATGATCCCAGGGTCCTGGGATCGAGTCCCGCATTGGGCTCCCTGCTTGGAAGGGGGCCTGCTTCTTCCTCTCCCTCTGCGGCTCCCCCTGCTTGTGCTCTTTCATTCTCTCTGTCAAATAAATAAATAAAATCTTTTTTTAAAAAAGGAAGCATTTTCTTAAGTTTTTTGTTTTGTTTTGTTTTGTTTGTTTGTTTTTTAAGTTATCTCTACACCCAATGTGGAGCTCAAACTCACAAACCCAAGATCAAGCATCATATGCTCCCCTGACTGAGCCAGCCAGGTGTCCCCAAAAGGAAGCATTTATATAGTTGTCCTCCACCTTTTTTCACTAAACAACATATTTGAACACCCTGGAATACATTTTGTACAATGGCATAAAAATAACTTCTTCCTTATCTTGTTTTATATTACTGCTCCATAGTATCTCTTGTGTGGATAAACTGTAATTTGTTTAATCAGTCCCTTATCGAAGGCCATTTAGGTTGTTTCCAATTTTTTGCAATTTAAAAACAATGTTCCATTTACAAATAGTAAAGCACATGTGTGCATACAGAACTGTAGTCTAAATTCTCAGAAATGGAAGCTCTGAGCCACAGGAGTATATGCCTTTATAACTTGGTTAGAGATTACAATTTGCCCTCTATAGATTCCCCAAAGATATAACTCCACAGTTGCAAAATATGTCACAAGTAATCTGTTACTTGTAATAATTAAGATCCAGTCATTTATTTATAGTTTAAGAAATAGAAGGGGGGAGCCTGGGTGGCTCAGTCGTTAAGCGTCTGTCTGCCTTCTGCTCAGGTCATGGTCCCAGGGTCCTGGGATCGAGCCTCGCATCGGGCTCCCTGCTCCGCGGGAAGCCTGCTTCTCCCTCTCCCACTCCCCCTGCTTGTGTTCCCTCTCTCACTGTGTCTCTCTGTCAAACAAATAAATAAAATCTTTAAAAAAAAGAAATAGAAAGAGTTTCAAGATTATTCCCATTATGTTAATTCTCATTTACTTTCATTCCCGATAAGGAAAGAAATGAGTAATGTTGCAGTTTCTAGCTAGAAATGTGTATAACCCACTGTACAACTGTGTATATCCCACATGTCAGTGTCCCCTGTGTGTCTTTGAAAGAGATATATTAGAAGTTATCTTGATGATGTATTTTTTTTTAAGATTGTATTTATTTATTTGACAGAGAGAGACACAGCGAGAGAGGGAACGCAAGCAGGGGGAGTGGGAGAGGGAGAAGCAGACTTCCCGCTGAGCAGGGAGCCCGATGCGAGGCTCGATCCCAGGACCCTGGGATCATGACCTGAGCCGAAGACAGATGCTTAACGACTGAGCCACCCAGGCGCCCCTTGATGATCTTAATGTAGAGGAAAATATCCTTAAGCATGAAAGGACAAGTCATTAAGGAAAATATTATAAATTCAACAACATTGAAAAATCTATTCTATCGAGGTGGGGCTAAAAAAATTCTATCCACAAATGTACATATGTATAAACAGATGGTTTGCAGTATACAGGGAAATGAGAGTGGGAGTAGAGGCTAAGGAAGTGTAATTCAAACAAAGAGGGGCCATTCACTTTGTTTCCAATGTTCATAAACAATGTTGCAATAAGAAAAAAGAAGGGGGGGGGGGGGGGGGAGAAAACCAACTTAAGATAGAACATGGTTTTAGCTAAAATGAAGTCCAGT